GTAGGAGGGTTTCACTTTTGACAAAGTTAAGGAAAACAACGAAACTCGTTTATCTTATCTTATTATTCCTACAAGTGGAATGACATCATCGCGGACATCTCGCGAACGGCGGAGAAAGAAGATGGGGGGCGATAACGAGGGAACAGCAAACTGGCGTATCTCAAGCAGTCCAACATTTTCCTAACTCATCATCATCCGGTGCCTTGCCGACTGGCGTGGGCGATCATGGACCTCCACTTCACTCTGTCTTGCGTTGCAGCAATGGTGTCTGTTGTTCTAGCTGCTCCTAGCCATGTCCTGACTAGTAATACGGAACTCAGTCCTACTCCTACATGAGTTCTATGATTTTAGTTTTAGTAGAGGTTTTACGGCGCTCCAACTGCATAAGATTACATTATGAGCGCCCGAAGATTAGAGGTGTTACAAGAGAGTAACAAACATAAAAAAGAAGAACAGGAGATAAGGACGATAGATGTTTGATAGGAAAGCAGAAGCAGACTACACAAGAGCACCCGCCAACCACCTACATGTGTCTCATGTGCATTGCCTTGTTAACCTTTTCATTATGTATCGACTATTCGCAAATCTGCAGACATAATAGAAATGTGAAGTGTGCTGACAAAATGAGTTATTTTTTGGATTCCAGCCCTATGGAAATAGATACATCAAGCTTATAGATCTAGGTTAATTGTTTTTTTCAATTTAAAAGTATGAAATAATAAGAACATGACATTCCTGAAGAATATGGCATCATTAGAAAATCTACAAATTTGACCCAAGTGTCGATTTTTAGTCCAATAATCTCCATTTGTGAACTGCGAGAAGTAACTCATTATGTGAGCACACCCCACTGTGAAGCGTGCTGACAAAATGAGTTACTTCTCGGATCCAAGCCTTATGGAAATAGATACATCACGCGAATAGGTGAAGTTTTTACAATTTATAAGTATGGAATAATAAAAGCCACGTTATACAAAAAGAATGTGGCAAAATCTACTAATCTGACCCTATAGTGTCGACATTTGGCCAATATTTCCGTTTGTGAATTGCGAGAAGTAATTCATTATGTGAGCACGCCCTACATAATAAAGTTATGGCAATAGGAACCCCCTGTTTTCATAACTCAAACAACGTATTGGCACTTGAGGCCGGCTGATAGAATAAGTAACTTCTTCTTCTTCTTCTTCTTCTTCTTCTTCTTCTTCTTCTTCTTCTTCTTCTTCTTCTTCTTCTTCTTCTTCTTCTTCTTCTTCTTCTTCTTC